GGGTGTGGTGTCCTGTGCACCGTAGGCTCCTTTCACAGTGGCCCTGGCCTCTACCTACTACATACCAGCAGTACCCCTGCAAAATTGAGATGACCAAAAAAGTCTCCAGACATTTCCCCAGAAATGTTCCCTAGCGGGCAAAATCACCCCTGGTTGAGAACCACTCTACTGTATTGGACAGCATCGTTCTAGAATATGCCTAACATGTATATGACACATTTTGAGAAAAGGAAATGGCCCCTACACCGCACTACAGCAGTAGTGGTTTTGTCATAAAAACAGGAAAGCTTTAATAAAAAAAAAAAAAAAGTCGGGGCGCCTGGGTGGCTCAGTCGGTTAAGCTTCTGACTTTGCCTCAGGTCATGATCTCAGTTTGTGAGTTTGAGGCCCACATCGGGCTCTGTGCTGTCAGCACAGAACCCACTTCAGATTCTTTGTCCACCTCTTTCTCTGCCCCCCTTGGCTGGTTCCCATTCTCTCTCTCTCTCTCTCAAAATAAATAAATAAATTTAGGGTAACCCGGGTGGCTCAGTACGTTAAGCATCCGACTCAATTTCAGCTCAGGTCGTGATCTCATGGTTCATGAGTTCGAGCCCCACACTGGGCTCCATGCTGACGGTGCAGGGCCTGCTTGGGATTCTGTCTCTCCTCTCTCTTTCTATCCTTTCCCTGCTTGCACATTCTCTCTCTCTCAAAATAAATATGAGTAAATAGACTTAAACGAAAAAAAAAGAATAAACTTAAAAAAATTCTGTTATCTGAAAACAAATTAAAAAAAAAAGTCAGATGTAGACAAATATCTTTCTTCCTTATCCTCCTTCGCATGTAACAGGGATGGAGCCAAGATATTAGTGTCGAAAAATGCTGCCTCCGTCGAAGTCCCCGGGTTAGCCTCAGAAAACCCATACTGGGTGGGGGGGGCCTGGGTGGCTCAGTCGGTTGAGCGTCCAACTTCGGCTCAGGTCATGGTCTCATGGTTCGTGGGTTCGAGCCCCGCATCGGGCTCTGTGCTGACAGCTCAGAGCCTGGAGCCTGTTTCAGATTCTGTGCCTCCCTCTCTCTCTGATCCACCCCTGCTCATGCTGTNAAAATATCAAAAAAAAAAAAAAAAAAAGAAAACTCATACTGGGATCTGGCTCCCCTGAACCCACTGTGAGTAAGTGGACACACTGACCTCCCTGAGTCTCCGCATCTCCCCTGGAGGGGGTACCTACCTGTCAGGGCTGCTGTGAGGGCTGAATTAGTGGCTAAAGCGGTCCTAGCTCGGCACTCAGCTGTCGTCGAGGTTCCATCAACGGCCATTACGTTGGCCACCCTCTCGTGGGGAGGGGGGAAGAGCCCTCACGCCTCCCAACCCAGACACAAAAGCGCCCAACGTGTTGCCACCGAAACTAAAAATCGAATTGATACGAAGGTCGCTATGCTTCATGAACCTGGCTTTATTTCAAAATGCCAATGCGCACAACATTCAACAATATGTGTGCGCTGTGTGTGCCTCCATCCCCCGGACACGTTTACATGTGTAGGAGGAAACGCTTGAGCTCCTCTGGGAGAAAGAGCCCGTTGATCTTATGATGCTGCTGGACCCCGAAGCACTTCCGGATTCGAAGGCGGCACAGCTGCAACAGAGAAGGGGGCCCTGCAGAGAGACGGGAAGACAAGCCACACGTCGGTGTCACTGATCCAAGACTACTTCCTCTTTCCCCCTTTGACAGCACCCGAGCTGTGACATCGTCACAAGGAGACCGCGCGGTTCTGTTGAAGACCATTTTCTGGGGTTTTTTTTGGGGGGTGGCATTTTTAGGTCATGTTCTCTCTTGTCCGGTATCTCAGGTGAATGAGCTTGTTAGGTTTTGATTTAGAAGAGACTGGAGGAAAAAAGTCAAAGCCTACTCGCACAAATGGAGGCTGAAGGCAGCCAAGTCTGGAATGACGAAGCCGCACAAGATTCCCAGTGATGAAAAGAAAATTCGTGTTTCACAGCCTCCTTGTATTTTCACCTTAAAAAATAAGGCATTTCTAGATACAAACATGTTTACTTTGTAATTTAGCAGTTTTCTAGGATATTCAAATAAAGTCAGCGATCAGTGAAGCCTAAGTAAGCGTACGTTATCTTAGGGAGTCCTCTATTTGTTTTTTATCCTGCATTCTGGGCTAACCCAATGCTTCAACTCATGGGTGAAAACTAGCACAAACCTGGCACAGGGAACCAGCCACGAGTTTACATTTCAGGGCAGTGGTTCTCAACAGGGGGCTGGGTGGAGAGAAGATGGAGGGGGCAGCTGGCAAAGCCTAGAAACACTTCTGTGTCATCTAGCGGGTAGAGGCCAGAGAGGCTGCTAAGGATCATATGGTGCACAGCACAGCCCCCCACCTGGCCCAAAACGTAACCAGAGCTGAGGCTGAGAAACCCCATTATGGAGTAAGAGAGGGATGAATGATTTCCCTGCACCAAACCGGAACGGGAATTCTCCTCTGGTTATCAAAATCACACAAATAAGCAAGGCCATATATAGACCCTCAAGAATCCCACAAGGCAGTGGCCCTCGATCCAGGATCCATTTTAGAATCCCCTATGGGGGGGGGGGAGCTTCAAACCACACGATGTTGGGCCCTACCCCAGAGATGTCCCTTCCGTGAATGCTGGGTGGGGCCTGTCCATCTGGGTTTTCTAAAGGCAGGTGCCCTTGGGTCATCTTATCGTGCAGCCAGGGTTGAGGACACAAGCAGGAAGATATGGTGGCCTTGGATTTCCTACAGCATCCCTACAAGCTACAGGGTGACGTGGCTTGCCTGCTTCTCAGGCGACAGAGAAGGACAGGTGGAAATAGCCACATATACCATCAAAGAAATAAACGCGGTATTGTCAATCGGGACCTCACAGCACATTCCGAAGGCCCCTGTAGGGATTTAGGGAACCTTCCAGACTACATTCAGGGGTACTGAAGCCATATACTGAGGAACTGCTTCCCGGCGTGCGCAAGGCACATATTAACAAACAGCAGAAAGGACACTGTGGGGAAACTGAACTTAATTTCACCCCAGAAAGGAGTGGTGAAGGACGTGACGAATCACATGTGCTAGACACGCTGTCAGGAACAACTGTCGGAGGTACTGATAAAGAATGATTGGCCAGCAGGACATGGGAGGTAGCTCGGTGCAGCCACTGATACTAATTGAATATCTGCTGTTGACTCTAAGTACGATGATGTACAACAACTGTAGCCATGTCCTGGCGAGCTCGTTTTCTACCTACAAACTGGCATATCACTTTGGGTCTCGATTTCTTTTTTTCGCCCAGCAACACCCGTGCTTCACATGATGCTTTAAAGCGAAAGGGCATCGAGCGTGGCTCCTGTCGTGCTGGGCGGAGCCATTTTTACTTTTCATTGTGTTGCCATGAGTAAACACTGCTTTGGATGCTTTTCAAGGCGGGTGGGGTGAGAATAGCCTCGGACTCCTTTCCAGGGACACCCGGAAACGGAATCCACTGTGTTAAATCGGCAGGGCTGGCCTTCGGCACCCGCCTGGCCTCATTTCCTGTGGGCTCCCAGGCTGCTGAGAGAGGGACCTCGGCAAAAGCCTGAAAACAACTCATGGAGGCAAAGGCAGGAATTCTCTGCAGTGACAAATGACATTTTGTAAACCAGCAGGATCACTGGTCACAATGTCACCAAAATGTAATCGAAAGAATGAAAGGCAATGTAGGTGCGACAACGGGCTTGAGGGGAAAGAGTAGAAGGAAGAGCCTAAGGACGTGATCGGGAAACCCAGTGGGATTATTTGCTGAGCCAGGGGATGAGGGGATTGTGCGTGCGTGTGTGTGTGTGTGTGTGTGTGTGTGTGTGTGTGTCTAGGTACATGACTCGGTGACTTCAGGGGACCATGAGGCCATTCTGCTTTTGTGGGTATAAAGACAAACATAAGCCGGGTTGAGTTTTGTCCATTTTTTCCTTCAGATTTTAAAAGCAATTAAAACACTTCTCTGGGGCCCTAAAAACATCATGGGCCCCAAGCATGGTGCGGTCTGGAACAGCTGGAGAAATATAGAGATAGAACTTTTTTAAAAAATCGTGGAAGTGCAGGTAGAGTGGCCTGGCGGTCACCCTGCTGCTTAATGGAAAGGGGTCTGTGTCGAACTGTAGTGCAGGGGCACCCAGGCGCCCGGCCCAGCCCCAAAGGGGGTTCCCCTGCATCACCCAAAAGCATATTTTAGATAACGTTAATATTAAAAAATTTTAAAGAATATGTTAATTCTTTCAAAGCCGGCCTACCCCCTGCCTGAATATTGTATCATCCAAGACAGCGTGTCTCCAACACTCCAGACGCTTCCGTACTACAGAGCCAGCACCGTGTAGTACCTTGCTGAATACTACGTTCTCTCAGCCCCCCACAGTGGTGGTGGCAGAGAATGGGCTTTCACACGGGAAGGCAGAACTCGGTAAGCCCCTGCCTCCCGCTAGAGCCCACAGGAGTGTCTATGGATTAGGGCCTAGGTCCGGGCAAGGGGGAGGTACCTTCGTGCTCCAAGAAGATCTGGGTCAAAGGGCTCTCTGCAGGCACCAACTCCAAAGGACGTTTGCCGTCCGCGTTCCTCGCCTGGGTGTCCGCTCCAAAGTCCATGAGCAGGAGGGCCAGCTCCCTGCTGGATGTGCCGGCCACTGCATGAAGAGGGGTGTCCTGACCTCGGCCTTCATTCACGTTTGCTCCTATGCCATCAAAAGAATAGGAAAGAGTCAGCCAAGAAACCGAGTCCGAGCATCCCCCTTTCTCAAATGCAAAATTCCTTGACGAAAGGGCGTCTGTAGTGGGCAGGGCAAGTCTGCAAAACTGGAGACGATTTGATTCCATCGAACAATACGGGGAAAAGGCCATCCAACGATGTGACTGAAGGTACAACAATGCGCTATATTGCATCTGAGGCTTAAAACCTTGCCTTTGGGGCGCCTGGGTGGCTCAGTGGGTTAAGCCTTCGACTCTTAGTTTGGGCTCAGGTCACGATTTCGTGGTTGGCGAGATCGAGCCCCGTGTCGGGATTCTCTGTCTCCTCTCTGGGTCCCTCCTCCCATCTCAAAATAAATAAATAACCTTGAAAACAAAACAAAACCACCTTGCCTTTGAGTGCTATACGTAGGTATGTTACATACAAGAATCCTGGTGGTGTGAAAGCTGCACTTTCATTATTAAAGGAGTGTAAATATTCGTGCAAACTGGAAGTGAGGCTAGATGGTGGAATCTCATCTATACCAGGCACCACCTTCACACACTGAGCAACTGCCATCGGGTATAAAACCCGGGACCTAGGGCTGTGTGATTTGAACCGTAAAGAGCAACTAGCTTGGTGAGGGCACGTCACAGAACAGGATGGCCAAGTCCAAGGTCACAGGAAAGATGGCAAAGTCCTCCTCTTCCGGAATAAGGTGGATTCCTAGGACCATCCCAAGCCCACTCCATCCCTCCAGTCTCTACAAATCCCCACCCCAGCCCGATGCCGGTTCCCCTGTGACACGCGGGGACATGTGGTTCGCCTGAGCTGCTGTCCCTCGAGTAAAATGGGAAAAGTATCTCCACTCAGCAAATATTAACTGGATTGAACAGATATTAACTGGATTATTCCTGTATTGTTCTTGGCTTTGTGAGAGATATGAAACCTGGCCCTTTCCTAGGAGCTTAAAATCTACCTAGAGCATTAGAGGAGAGGGAGGGAATAAGGAAGGGAGAGACAGAGATGGAGATAGAGATAGAGAGATGGAGATACAGATGGAGAAAGAGAGAGAATAAGAATGAATCTCCTGGGGCGCCTGGGTGGCTTAGTCGGTTAAGCGTCCGACTTTCGCTTAGGTCATGATCTCGCGGTTCGTGGGTTCGGGCCCCGCGTCGGGCTCTGTGCTGACTGCCAGCTCAGAGCCTGGAGCCTGTTTCAGTCTGTCACTCCCTCTCTCTCTGACCCTCCCCTGCTCACGCTCTCTCTCTCGCTCTCTCTGCTAGAAATAAATAAAACATCAAAAAAAAAAAAAAGAATGAATCTCCTAATTCATGGCAATGGCTGCCAAATGAGTAGAGGGCAACAAGAAACCATTAAGAACATTCGAGGGAAGGGAAAGGTTCCTGGAGTTTTGAAGAATAAGCAGGACTCAGACAACTACAGGGGTGATGAAATGGTCTTCCAAGATTGAACAAGAGACCAGACAACAGCAGGCAGGTGAAAAAGAATGATACTCCATAGGCCTTTTCGAGGATAACAGAAGATTTACAACGAGCTACAAACGGGACAGGTTGGATTTTCCAGATCGAAGCACACTGGTGAGGGAGGCCCCAGGGCAAGCCCCAGCCCTGGTCCAGCAGCTGTGGGAGTTAGCAGGGCTAAGAACGCGCCTGCTGACCGATCCGGGAGCGAGGAGGCGGAGGGGACGGAGGAGAAACGAGGATCACCCTGAGAGGAAATACTATCATCATCATTATCCGCATTACAAGTGAGAGAACGAAAGTCCAAACAGTTTAAAATATTTTCCCACGGGAACGCCGTCTCTGTGAACCCTGATCTTGTCTGACTCCACTGCCCCCACTTTTCCCTCTGCTACAACACAGAGAGCTTTCAAATGCATTTCATTGCTTTTTCATTTGCTTTCCTCGTTTCGCTTGCTTTTTTGTTTACCTGACTCCAGAAGCTTCCTGGCACAGGCCACCTGCTGCTTTTTGCACGCCAGGTAGAGCGGGGTGCCCAGGTGGCGGATGTTAAGGTTCAGGTTGCCTCCGTGAGCGGTCAGGATCTCCACACAGTCCATGTGGCCTGCAGCCCAAAGCGGAAGAAAGACAGCTATGGAACAAATTCCCTCAGCCGGGGAAACCATACCTTCCCTGTGTTTTGTGTATAGGAATTTGCCACGGACCAGAAGCTAGCGCCTTTACTTGACGTAGGGAATGAGTTTAAACCCAGCCATCAGTGAATGGGTTGACCGTAAGGTGGTATCTGCAGCTCCGGGTAGAACTGCACTTGGGTTTACCGGCCTCGGGAAGCCACCGGCAACCTTTTCCAAGTGTTTGTGGCTTTGTAATCAGTCCGGATACAGACACAGAAGTGAGGGTTGGGAGGGGTGTGGAGGGACAGGACCGCAGGTGGATCTGAAGAGGAAAGGGCGCACCGTGGGCCATGGGGCGGGGCAGGCAGCCCACAGGACCCCCCCCCCCCCCGCCAGGGCATGCCCTGCGAGAAACAGACCACCGTGGACACAGGTGGGGCTCAGCTGCCCAAATCCAACAGGGGGGGTTGGCGAAAGCTGAATGAATCACTCGTGCTTGGTCTAGGATGCCCTACCTCAAACACCGCTCCTTTGCACTCTGCTTTTTATATCACTTGAGGTGTATGCACCCAGTGAGTATGAGGAGTGGCTCCGTCTCTTAAGCAATAAATGTCAATGCTTTGGGAGATAACTAGCATATGGATAGATTCAGTCACATGGGGTTGTGGTAAGGCTCATGGAGAGCCAGTCCGTGAAAGCCACCGGGGACCTAGGAACTCTTCCGCCAATGTGTGGTCGTGATGGGGATGAGGATGGTGATGAACTCTGGAGAGAAGCAAAACTGGCAATGTTAGGTTTTCTGCCAGAGTGAAGAATATCGGCAAAATTAGGACTGTATGAAGAGTATTACCCCAGCTGAGTAAGTCCTGGGGATCTAACGTACAGCATGGTGACTGTATACTTGAAATTCGCTAAGAGACTAGACCTTAAGTTTCACACACACACACACACACACACACACGGTGACCACATGAGGTGATGGACGTGTTCATTAATTTGACCGTGGTGACCATTCCATAACGTATGTGTGTATCAAGTCATCATGCACGCCTTAAATACATACAATTTTACCTCAATAAAGCTAGGCATGGTGGACAATCACCTCAAGCTGTATACAGCATCCTGTATCTCCAAAACTTGGAAGTTTGTTCCACTTACAAAACCTAGGTGGCCCTGAGACAACATTCTTCACGGCCCTGAACTAGAAGGATATAACTTGTTTTATAAAATAATTGGATTTTCATGGGGTCATGTGTTCAACAAGGTATTCCACAAATACTGATGGATAGTCTAACCATGCGGCAGACCCTGTTCCAGAACTATGGCAGTGAACCACGTTCCAGACGCTCCAAGAGAGTGGTTCTCAGGCTCTGTGTGCACCCCAACCACCTGGATGCTTGTTACACAAAATACAGAGGGCTGGGCCCCACCCCAGCATCGCTGATTCAGGGGGTCTGGTGTGGGGGCCAGGAACCTGCACTGGCATGCCAGACCGGGCTGATGTTTCTGGCCCCAGGATCCCACACTGAGAAAATATCCTTCAAAAAAAATAGCCCTCCTCGGGGCGCCTGGGTGGCTCAGTCAGTTAAGCATCTGACTTCAGCTCAGGTCACCATCTCACGGTTCGCGGGGATGAATTCCGCATGGGGCTCTGTGCTGACAGCTCTCTCAAAAATAAATCAACATTGAAAAAGAAATTTTTGTTTGTAATATCCCTTCTCTTCCTTCTTCCTTTCAACAGTGAGAAGGAGTGGTGGAGAACTTAAAATCAGATTTACCTCTCTTAGCGGCTTCATGGATGGGAGAAGCCAGGTCGCTCACAGGATGCGGACTGGCTCCATGCTGCAGAAGCAGAGTCACGCAGTCCAGGCTGCCCACGATACAAGCATTGAACAAAGGAGTGTGCCAGTCGGTAGTGACACAGTTCACCTGGAAAGAAAAGCTCCAGGCTGAAGGCAGGCAGTGGGGTGTCCTGGGTTCAAATCTAAGCTGCCCTACTTTCAAGCTGCTATTTGACTCCCTTGAGCCTTAAATTCCACAGCTACTAAAATGAGGACAAAAATACCAACTTCCACAAGGTTTTGAAAAACCGAGTGAAGAATGTTACCGAATAGTCTGTCATTTCCACGCCCCCCCGAACATGAACTTGGAAACTGGTTAGGAAGGATAATTCCGAAAGCTTACAAACGAATCTTGTTTTAAACATTCCATTCTAGACCCATCCCACACCAATCCAATTTCCTTTACAGCAGTGAGAATAACCTTTCAGAGTTGTTAATGTATTATTTCAAAAAAAAAAATTTAAATGGGGCTTTCACAGAAATATAGGATGAATATGTGCCAAAGATTTTATTCAACTCGTTCATTAATAAGAGAATCAGTAAGACAGTAAGGCTGGCTAAAAGGAGAATTTATATAGTCAGTCAATTAAATGCTGAAATAAATTTGCTAATAGATACAAGACTGGCCAATGTCCTACAGGGCCATAAAACTATAGTCTTTGGGGGCGATCTTTTCCAAATGTTGGAAATCAGACAGATACTTACACGTTAACATCTATCTGACTTCACAGCGTTTGGGCTATAACTGAATAGGAAAGAGCAAAGCCAAATGCAATTTTTCTACATTGTCAAATAATTCTATGGTGAATCTATTAAGCTAAGATATTATGAAGACAATGAAGTCATTCTCACAAGCCATTTCCAAGCAAGGCTAGGATGAGGGAGGCACAGGTGTCCAGGGTGCGAAGTTGAAGGAGACACTCCCTTCCGGGGGCACGTGAATGGTGAACAGCCCTGGGAGTGAGGGGCTCTTTAAAGCTTGCACCCTAGGTGCCTCTCTGCCTTTCCTGAGGCCCGGCCCTGTTTCCGTGTTTGGAGAATGTTTTCCTAACCCCAATATAAACCCGATGAGGCACTCATCTATGGCTCTCTACAACTGCTGTCCGGAGAACACCCATTTTCCTGGCATGGACAACCCAGCACTCAGCTGATTCCAGCATGTCCTTTACATTTCAACTTACGCATCGTTTCCCCTAGCAATCTTCTTTGGGCCTCCTCTCTCCCCCACCAGAAATGAAGGGGCCAAGAACACTTCTGTGTGCTCCCGGCAACCACCTTAGTATTCGTGCCTGTCACAAGGTGGTAGTGTGCACAAAGGGCCTCAGATTCTCTGCACAGGATGCATATCCCTTCGCAATGTAGCCTTGCAATTCCTCCCATCCCAGGATGGAGACTGTCCCTCCAATCCTTGAATCGGGGCTTGCTCAGGGGACTTGCATAGGCCAAAGGAACAACAGCAAATGTGCCGCAAGCTGAGAGCCCACCTTCTTGGAAGGCCGGCTACCACGTGAAAGAGCCCAGGCTGCCTGCTGAACGATGAGAGACCACACAGAGATCTTCTGTCTCCCCAGCCATCCTGGCCAAGGTCATCACGAACCAGCCTGCCCCAACCAACCAGTCGGCTAACCTCCAATGCCTAAGTAAGCCCAGCTGACATCAGCTGAAGCAGGACAGACCAGAAGAACTATCTGGCCGACACAGGGGTTTGTGAAATAAACAAATGGCTATTGTCTTAAGTCATCAAGTTGGGGTGCTTTGTTACACAGCGGCATGTAATGGGTAAAAACAGTTTTGTGGAATGGCCTGCTGGGGCCGAGATGCCGTGCGTTCGACAAACCAATTTCCTCTCCTCGCGGCACACAGCCATACTACATTTCCCAGCCTCTCGGGCAGTGACACGTGGCCTGAGTTCCGGCCCACGGGAAGTGGGCAAAAGTGATGGATGTCACTGCCAAGACAGGCCCTTGAAAGTCTTCCATGCACAATCCTTCACATCTCTTCTCCTTCTGACTGCCTGGCATGGCGGCCACCACTAGGAGCACATGCGGAAGCCACTCGCTGAAGACGGAAGAGCAACAGGGTGAGAGGAACCTGTGTGCTTGAATCACCCCCAGAGAGAGCCACCCAACCAAGAACACCCACGCTGGAGTCTCAGTTGAGCAAGAAACCAACTTTGCATTCGGCTACTGAGATTTCAGGGTGTGCCTATTAAACTAACGAGTGTTATATTCGCTTATTCACCTGTTTATCTAGCTGTGCCCTCGTAGTTTATAAGTTCCTAAGAATCTTCATCCAGACTGTAGGCACATAATACGTGCTCAGTGAATACCGGCTGAGAGAATGTGAGAAACCCGCATATATCACTTTGTGATCAGACTCGTCCATCACTTTCGAGCATGAGGGGACACAGTTAATGGGAGACTCAGTGGTCCCTACTTGCAAACGTAATGACTTTGTGTCTTCCTTCTCTAGGACCTCGTTACGCCATCCTGATTCTCATTCTTCAAATCATCATCATGTGCCTCACGTCTCTCAGTCCTCACCAAACCCTAATAAGCTACGCAACTTCCTTGTTATCTTCTCCCTTTTCTCAGATATAGACTCTTAAAGCTCAGAGCCTAAGAAGCGTGTCCAAGTTTCCAATATTAATAAATGGAAGACATGGTTTGAGACCGTTATTCGGGTCTTATAGAGCCAAATGTTCTATGTCTTCCATAATATTTCGTTACTTGCCACCCACAGGAATGAAAGCAGACATCTAATAGGTATTTATCAGTAGTGACTGTTAAAGAATCTGATACAGACGCAAACCATTACTTTCTAGCTAAAAACTCAGTACATCGTCTAGCGCTGAAGCAAAGAAGCTTGATGGACATAAAACTTTGGAAAAAACACCCTTCGTCAAACCTCAAATCAGGCTAGTCCAAAAGGTTGTAAATTATTCAAAAGGGGTCGAAAGAGTCATTTGTCATTCATGGCTTCTGAGACATTGTTTGAGCTGCACCTACCTGAGCTCCATGCCTTAATAAAAGGTTGGCACAAGACAGGTGACCTCCAAGACAGGCTTCATGGAGTGGGGACACACCATCTGCCGTGATGAGGTTTGCAGGCCACCCCTGGAGGAGAGGAAATGAGCAGAGTTAAGGCGTACAAAGCAACAGTTCCCTAGGGTTGGTTTTGAGCCACAAATCCAGAGCTGTGACAATTCTTTTAAAGTCAACCTGGCTCACAGTCTGACAGAGGCTAAGGTATTCCTGACGATGTACAACAAACCAACACACAAGCAGCTTTCATGCTGCTGGTGGAGTCTAATATGATACAGCCACTCAGGAAAACAACTTGACAGTCTCTGTTAGTGTTGATGAGACGCATCCTCATGATCCAGCCATTGGACTCTTAGGGATACACCTTCTAGACTGACTTTCATCTTGTTCTCTCTCTATCTTGTCCTCTCGTGACTTTCTTTCGGCCACGTTCTCACCTGTGTTACCCAGCTCTTTCCCCTTCAGGCACACTTTCCTTTCGTGTTTCAAACTCTTCCCATCCTCATTCCTGACCCTCTACCAAACTTGCATCCAACGCTCGTCTTCCCTTTGCTTCCCCTCTGCCATTTTTTTTTCCAGATATAGTCTGCCCCACCCCCCTTCTTTAACTTCTAGCCTTTCTCTCATCTACCAATACAATTCTGCTGAAACTGCTTCCAGAGATCTCTAGAGACTTCTTCCTTATTGAGTCCAATATACGTCGCTCTAACTTCCGCCTCCTTCCGCCTCTGAATTTGCTATGTGTTCATCCCCACCTTGCGAAACCTCTCCTCTGGCTTCTAAAACAAAGCTCTCCCTTAAAAAAAAGCTCCCTCTCTGACTTCCTACTGTCCTTTTCCTGTCTCTCTCACTAAAGCTGTCCTTTCCTCCAAATTATCTCCTCATGCAGACATCTCAAGGATCTGCCCTCAAATCCTTTCTTGTTCTCTCAATACTCTCTCTGCATACGGTATACAGCTTTCAAAACGCAATCTCTACCCCTTGTACATGTTTCTAATTCCCTGCTAAGACACAGCCACATAAAGACCCAACTAACCACATCAACTCCCCCTCTGCCAACAACCGAGCTCTCCCTGAAAAGGGCTCCTTGTCTGCCAGCCCGCATTCTCTGAACGGCACCACTATTCTTGTTCCAAACCTCTGATGGGGACCTCAGAGGGAAGGTAGCAGAGGGATTCCCCAGTTCAAAGGCCGGCACCATCACCTCACAAGCAGTGTGACCTCGAGCCGGTTACTCACCTCCCTAAGCCTCAGCTTTCTCATTGGTAAAGTGGGGACAATTGTACCTACCCTAGAAAGTTGTTACGAGGACTAAGAAATGACGTGTACAAAATGCTGAGCGCTCGGTAACTTGTAGGCAGTCATTATCTGAGATTCCTTCCTATTCTTTATCACTTAGCCACATCCTAAAGATCTGAGGTTTTAGAACACCAGGATCTTTGCTAGTTTCCACTCACTAGTGACTTAGCCCTTTGAGGATTGCAGGGGCAGCATAAGGAGTTTTAGTCAAGGACCTGAAAATCCAGTCTTCACCACTTGCTTGCAGCAAGACCTTATTGCTAAGGTTCTCTCTCTCTCGGTCTTGGCCATGGCTTGGAATCACTCGGGGAGCTCTTAAAGTCCTCGTACCCAGGCTGCTTCCCAGAGCACTTGCCATATAATCAAAGGAGGCTGAAGTCCGGCGTCAGGATCTTTTAAGAGCTGCACCTCATCCCAGACATCTCAAGGTGATTCTAAACGTGCAGCCCAGACTGAGAACCACCAAATTAAGCTCACGCTATGGTAAAGTGAGTCCTTAATTGCTTTCTGCTGGCCTAACAAACTGCTACTGGTTTTTTTTTTCCAAGTAAATTTTTATTGAAGTGCGATAAAGAAAAGTTCATAAATCCTAAGTGCAAATCTCAGTGAATTATCATAAAGGACATAAACATCTTATCACTATACAGGCAAAGAAAGAGAACCTTACCAGGAGCCCACATACACACTATCCAAATTAAGACCCACCTCTCATCCACACAGGCATCCACGATGCTAACCTCTAACACCATATGTTAATTTTCCCTGGTTTTGAACATTATGTTAATTGAACCATGAAGTATATATTTGTATGTGTGTGTATGGCTCCCTTCATTCAATATTATGTTTGTCACACTCATTTATTCATCCATTTTCATGGCTGTATAGAATCTCGTTGAGTAATATGCCATCATATACTTAACCATTTCACCTTTGATGGACACCGGGGTTGCTTTCAAGGTTTTTGTTCTTTCGTTCTTATGAATAATGCTGCTTTGTATATACCTGTTTGTGCCCTTTACTGAACACACAGATACATATACAGTAAAACCTTGGTCTGTGAGCATAATTAGTTCCAGAAAGATGCTTACAAACCAAAGCACTCGTACAGCAACGCAAATTTCAAGAACCATTGGCTCAGTTGTGATCACGTGATATTCGGTGTCACACGCTACTCGTATTGCAAGACATCGCTCGTTTATCAAGTTAAAATTTATTAGGAATGTTTGCTCATCTTGTGGAACACTCGCAGAACAAGTGACTCGCAATCCAGGGTTTCACTGTATATGTGTCTGTGGCATACATACCTAGAAATAGAATTGCTGGGTTATGGGTAGGGATAATTTCTGCTTTGGTAGATGTCACTTAACAACTTCCCAAAGTGGTTTCTACAATTTATACTCTCACCAGTTGCTCCACATTCTTACCAACACTTTGTATTATCTGTCTTTTCAAATGGAACCATTCTGGTGGGAGGAGCTGGTAATATAGTCTCTCACTTGTAATCTGAATTATCCCAATGACTAGCCAGCATAGTTTGATATATTTGTTGAATATTTAGATATCCCTTTTTATGAAATGCCAGTCCAAGTCTCTTGCTCATCTTTCTGTTGGGTTGCCTACCTTTTTTGTATTGATTTTAGACAAGGAATATGAGCCCTTTGTCAGATGTGTGTGTGAGTGTGTGTGTGTGTGTGTATGTGTATGTGTGTGTATATATACATATATAATGTATATGTGTGTATATATATATAGATTTTTCTCATCTGTGGGTTATCTCCTTGCTTTTTAAATATTGCTTCTTTAAAAATTTTTAACATTTATTTATTATTAAGAAACAGAGAGAGACAGAGCATGAGCAGGGGAGGGGCAGAGAGAGAGGGAGACACAGCATCTGAAGCAGGCTCCAGGCTCTGAGCTGTCAGCGCAGAACTCGATGCAGGGCTCTAATCCACAAACTGTGAGATCATGACCCGAGCTGAAGTCAAACGCTTAAGTGACTGGGCCACCCAGGTACCCCTAAATATTGCTTTTTGATGAAGTTCTTAATTTTAATGAAATACAACTTATCAGTCTTTCAGTTCATTTCCTCATACTATTTCTTTCATGTCAAATCCCTTTCTCTCTCCTACACTATCAAAGTGGCCTTTTTAAAAAAACTCCTTGAACACACTGGTTCTACAGGAGTTTTTAGAAAACTACCAATGTGGGGCAGGCGTCTGGGTGGCTCAGTCGGTTAAGCATCTGGTTCTAGACTTCGGCTGAGGTCATGATCTCATGGTTCATGAATCTGAGCCCCACGTCAGGCCCTGTACTGACAGTGCAGAACCTGCTTGGGACTCTCTTTCTCTCTTTGCCCCTTCCCCACTCACACTCCCTATCTCAAAATAAATAAACTTAAAAAAAACCCACCACCAATGCATGAAGATGGCCCTAGGTTAAATCAGAATATGTGGGGTGAGGCCCAGGCATTGTTATTTCTTAAAAATGTCCTGGATTATTTTAATGTGAAGCCACGGTGAAGAATAATTAGTTATGGATTCAGTTTCTCTCTTCCTGGGCCAAATGAAAATTTCTTCTTTTCTCTTTTCTGTTTTACAGCCATCTCAATGTTTGGTCTTATTCCCCTTCCTAAAATATATTTGTTTGGTTTAGCAACTGTGTTTGTCATCATTCTTTGATTACCTGGAGTGTGACTGTAATCAGGGAATAAATACCACGTGTGATGACAGTAACTGGAGTAGGTAATTTACATGATGTCACCTCAGTTCATTCTCACAAACCCATATAAAGTAACATGAAAGACTGTAATTTGGGCCTTAATTCTTTATTCCCCTATAGCAGTGTAATATATTCACACCCTTGCCATCACCTCATAGTTGACAACATAGAATTCCTTCATCCTTGACCTCAGATCTGGGCGTCTGGCTTGCTTTGGCCAATGGGATATTGGTCGATGTGGCATAAACAGACTGGAAGTCCTCCTGCATGGTGGGGACTTGCCCCGCCATGCTCCAGCCTTTTCCCATGAGAATAAGAGTCCTCAGGTAGCCACTGCTCAGAGGGGGATGGGAGACATGTAGCAGAATGGTACCCGACCCACAGCTTGGAGCCAAGCCCAGCCTTGGCTGGCCGACCCAAAGACTTGTGAGCTAGAACTAAATGTTCGTTGCATGCTGCCGCTGGGTCTGGGGTGCCCTGTTGCACAGCAAGACCTAATACAGGGAGTTACTGGAATGGACATTTTACGAAGGCCGAACCTGAGGTCCAAGAAGACAACTTGCTCAAACAACGTGATGGAGCTTAGATAAAGAAATGGTTCTGTCTTGGGGCACCTGGGTGGCTTAGTCGGTTAAGCGTCCGACTTTCACTTAGGTCATGATCTCGCGGTTCGTGGGTTCGAGCCCCGCGTCGGGCTCTGTGCTGACTGCCAGCTCAGAGCCTGGAGCCTGTTTCAGTCTGTGACTCCCTCTCTCTCTGACCCTCCCCTGCTCATGCTGTCTCTCTCTCTCTCTCTCCTAGAAATAAATAAAACATAAAAAAAAAAAAATTAAAAAAAAAAAAGAAATGGTTCTGTCTGATGTGCACTAAACATATAAGTATTGAACATAAATGAAGGTCAGTCCAATTTAATAAGTGATATATAGAAGCTCCAGTGATCATTTTTCACCCTATCAAAATAAGGTAAATGTTTCATTTTATCTGAGAAGCAGCTTAAGGGCTTTAAGCTAGAGTGATGCATTCCTATCTCTATTTCTATTGATAACAGGCTGCAGCCACCATTAACAGCTGAAGATAGTGGCTTACTGTGGTCTGAAATTTTTCTTTAGAAATTGTTATCTCATAGAAGGATTTCTTAGTCTAGATAGGCCCATGGAATTGGATTTTTTTTTTCAATTTAAAACATTTATTTTCACTAACAACTACCTAAGATATATGATGTCCTTCCATTACGACTCCAGACAACCCACCGCAGTAGTAATAGCAGAATATAGGACAATCACTGGGAAGAATAACAGATACTTACATTGCATCATAATAGTAATTATTTTATTTTTTTAACTTTTATTTTGAAAGAGAGAGCACGAGTGAGTGGGGGAGGGGCAGAGACAGAGGGAGACAGAGGATCCAAAGGGGCCAATGCTCTAACAGCACAGAGCCTGATGCGGGGCTCGAACTCATGAACTGTGAGATCATGACCTGACCTGAAGTTGGACACTTAACTGACTGAGCCACGCAGGTGTCCCACATTATAATTATTGTAGATATCTAAAATATCTCAAAATACATGCTCAACCTACTTAGAAAACACGGTAGTTACTAGAATCACCACTAAGTCTTATTTACTGTGTTTTATATCAGTATGTCACGTTTGGTTTTTATAACACGTTGATCGGTCTTTGGTATTGTCTTTTATGCATTTAAAACCTTAGTTTGAGGGGAATCTGAGTGGCTCTGTCGGTTGAATATCTGACTTCGGCCTGGGTCATGATCTCATAGTTTGTGGGTTCAAGCCTCGCGTTGGGCTCTGGACTGACAGCTCAGAGCCTGGAGCCTGCTTTGGATTCTGTGTCTCCCTTGCTCTCTGCTCCTCCCCCGCTCACACTCTGTCTCTCTCTCCCTCAAAAATAAACAAACATTAAAAAAATAAAATATGAGTCTGAGAAGGGCCAGACTGCCAACTGAAAAGATCTATAACTTTTCAGAAAACAGAACATTCTGAACAGAAACTTCATTAGAATTTTGAACGGTGATTTAAACCACTTTTTTAAAAGTATCTTTGCCTAAGTTCCCAATAGTTTCAAACCAGCAAAACTTAAATTAGTGTATACTTGAAATTATACCTGAGGAGCAAAGAAACTAATATCAAACTGGGCAGAGCCAATCTCCACTGGAGGTTCAATAACACTGACAATGTCTTCAAAATTTTAAAATTACATATTTAAAAAGATGCTTTCAAGCATCTGTTTTATATCAGGGGTTTACAAATCCAGCACTACTGACATTTGGGGGTGGATAGCTTTTTGATGTAGAGGGCTGTCCTGTGAGCCAACCTATGTTTAGTAACATCTTTGGTCTCTAACCACTAGATACCAGTATCACCCGACCCCCCTCCCAGTTGTGACACCTAAAACTGTCCCCAGCCATTGTCAAATACCCCGTAAGGGGTAAAACTGCCCCAGGTGAGAACAAAAGGTTTTACGGGATAATTTTCCAGAACACAGTCTATGGCATAAAGTGAAGCCAACCTGAATGCATTAATCTGCCTCTTATTCACTCGATAGATATTATAGTACCTATTATGTGCATAGAAGTGTATTAAATTCTACTATTACGCCCGCCTCCAAAAAAAATGGTTAAAGAGGACAGGAATCACCTCATTTTGCTGAAGAGGAAATTTCTATCTTAATATCAGACTAAATGATTCTTTCTCTCTCTGCGTGGTGAACAGCAGGATCTGCTTAATATTTACCTCTTTTTTTTTCCCAAAGGCCACGTACCTGGTTAATGAGGCTCCTCAGAGAGAGCAGACGTCCATGGATGGCAGCTTCGTGCATAGGAGACCAATCCGACACAATATCTGCATAGAAAGGGAGGAGCGGGTTACCTCCTGTTGACGCACTATAGACCCGAGGCTCGTCCTTGCCGGTCAGTAAGAGCCCAAGGGGTCTTACTGGATGGAGACATTGCAGGCAATCAACCAACACTCCCATGAGCCTTTTGGCACTTCTCCCCTCTACTGATGCATCTAGTGCACAGTTTATTTGAAGTGTCTAGATAGCTAAAGAAAGAACCACAGCCAGTATCCAAACAGAGGACAAAAGAGATGGACGGAGATGAGAGAATACTAGACTCCCATTTACGCACTGGTTTCAAAGGCAAATGGTCTGTTCGGTTAAGTGAGAGCTTCCCGATTACCAGCGTTAGTGTGGGAAGCTGTGGTTGGCGGTCTAGCGTCCGGCATGAACTACAGGCTCTGGTATCTCAGCAAACAGTGCCACAGACGAACAGTAGTAAGCGCATAATTACATACACCATTAGGTTTGAAAGCAGATCAACACAAAACTGTGTCTATTTATGGATTCCCTCCTGTCCCAATATCAAGCACAAGTTAAGAGTGTGGTCTGACCTTGTAATGGGGACATTATTCACCCCAAAAGGCAGCATGCCAATGGGGTTGAAGAGAGCCCTGAATTCAGACCTGTGTGGCTTCTTCTGCGAGGTGGGTCCCTGGACAGGCTCTGAGCCTCTGTCTCCTTCCCTGTCCGGTGAGGACAGCAGTATACTTACCCATAGCTCAATACCTATTAGCTACGATCATTATCCTGCCCTACAATTAAGCAGCGTCTTGATTATACCCCATGACCACTGCTATTAAAAATAGCAAATTTATTCTACAACCAGATGGCAGGAATACACATTCTTAGGAAGGAAGCCTTTTAACCCCATGACAACACATTAAACACTCTGCTCCCTTTAATTGAATGGGAAGGTAACACGCACGAGGCCTAGAGCAGAGTTTCCCTCCTCTCACACGTGTCTGATTTCCAGAACAAACACAGGATGTCAGAACGTGAGGAGGCTCCTCTGATCTCGCCTCAGCTCCACCTCTGGCTGGTGGGGTAAACACGCCACACACAAACAAGGCCGAAGGTCCGATACCAGGCATGCCTTCAAAAGGAACTGGTGTCTCCTAAAAGCTACGAACACCGAGCGAACCAGAGCCAGATGAACCAGATGAAAAGCCAGGGAGGAGGAGGCTACAACACTCTGTACGTAACACGTGTTGGCTGAGCTCGGCCTGCTATCTGGAGCTACCAATGCCCTGGAAAATCCGTCCCAGGGAGCAAATTACCATCCTTCCTGATGGATTCATGAAGCCTTTCCAGGGGAGACGACGCTGAAGGAGGCTGCCCACACACTGTCTGCCCAGTGATTTCCTTCTGGGGTCACCAAGAGTACCTCAAGTCAAACGGCCTCTCCGACCTCCCAAACCGCATGCTCAACACAAACTCCATGTACTCACTGCACCTCTTCCCCCCTGCCCCGCAAGGGTCCCGGTTCTCAGGAAAAATAATTGCTGTTTTTAGTCACTGGGGCCTACGATTCGGACTGCAGATATGGAAACATTTCTCTCCAAATCAGAATTAAAAGGACAGCTCATTCTGCACTGTTGGCACTAATGCAAAACGCCATCCGCCCCAAATCTTGAGTGAGAAGAGCGAGCCAAACATCAAGAAAGGTTGCGAAGATTAGTTTTAAAGAAATTTCCTAATGGATCGCCATGCGCGTGAGGATTAATCTGTTTTTCCTTCCAAGTGTTCAGCTGCTAAAAAATAGAGCTGGCACACTCCCCAACTTCTCTTAAAGCCTCAACAGTCCAGGCAGGTAATTGGGTCCTAAATTCGAACTTGTTCAGAAGCCATAAAAAAATGATGCAATTATATTATCAAGTAGAGACAAAAATGGGCTCTGTTTTGTATTCATTTGTCAGGAGACCATTACTCCTTCTATTTACAGTAAATAAAGAAGCATATACTTCTCTAAGAGAGAAAAAACGGCCACCTGAGGTTTTGCACCCCTGCATTAGAACGTATTGTTTACAAAGCAGACTAGTCTGTGTCTCTGAGAAGCCCACGCAGTTGCCCTGGTAACCTGCGGGGGGTGGGGGAGGGGAGCTGACGGTCTGCACCCATCTATGTGACTAACGGCTTCATTGAGTTCTAATCCACATCCTATACAATTCCCTCATTTAAAGTGTACAATTCAGGGGCGCCTGGGTGGTTTGGTCAGTTAAGTATCTGACTTCGGCTCAGGTCATGATCTCGCTGTCTGTGGGTTCAAGCGCCAGATCAGGCTCCGTGCTGAGAGTTTGGTGCCTAGAGCCTGCTTTGGATTCTGTGTGTGTGTGTGTGTGTGTGTGTGTGTGTGTGTGTATCTGCCCTGCCCTGCTCATGTTGTTTGTCTCTTAAAAATAAAACATTTAAAAAACTTCAAGTGTACAATCCATCGGTTCTCAGTATATTCGTGGAGTCGTGCATCGCTATGGTCAATTTTAGAGCATGTCTGTCGTCCCCAAAAGAAACCCCTTGCCCATCAGCAGTCCCTCCTCACATTCACGCTCCCCCACTGCCACACCTGGCAACCATGGATCTACTCTCTGTCTTTACAGATTTGCCTGTTCTGAACATTTCACGTAAATGGAATCATGTAGTATTGTGGTCCTTTGTGATCGGCCTCTACCTAGCGTAACATTTCAAGGTTCATCCCGTTTGCTGGCCAAATAATACCCACTGTCGAGAGAGACCACGCTTGGTTTGTTCATTCATCAGCTGATGGGACATCCGTGTTGTGTTTACTTCTTGGCTGTTATGAGTAACGCTGCTGTGAACATTCATGTGCACGTTCTTGGGTGGCCGTTTTCAGTTGTCTTGGTGTCAGAGCTTCTAGGAGTGGAAGTGCTCTAGGACACGGTAACCCGATGTTCAGCCTTTTGTGGAACTTCCAAACCGTCTTCCAAAACGGTTGTACCGACGGATGGTCCCATGAGCGGTGGATGAGACTTCCCTTCCTAATTGAAAGTCATTTCAGGCTAGGGTTTGGTGAGCCTATCATAGTGTGTCTATCGCTCCTGCCCAGGAGAAAAACTGGGATCCTTGTAAAGCCAAAATTCAGAGACCTCAGCGGGTGTCTGAACAAATGAGGCATTATGTAAAAACTTGAACATGTGACAGTCCTGGATATAGGCTTTTTTCTAGCATTGAGAGCATGGAGATATGTACACACACACACACACACACACACACACACACACAGACGGTTTAGTAAACAACCATAATTTGCAACATGGACTATCCACACACACTCTCATTAGCTCTTGAAAACACTGAAGGGATAGCTGAGAAGTCTATCTTGCGTGACCCCGCCCTGCGAAGATCAGGGAGGTTTCCCCCGAGTCTTCCAGAGCCCACGCCCAAGCAGGCATTGAGCTACAGACAATAGGAGCAATTAAACCCAGAAGCAGCTGTGCCTGCCTTCCTGCTAACAACCAGAGGGGGCAGAAAGGGCAGGAAAGGAGACCTACTCCGCTAAAACACGGAAATGCTCCCAGCAGGAGACTGGATGAGGAGGCCACTCAAGGTCACCAGCCCCCTTCCACTTGACCCCACCACGGGCTTCGAAACTCAAGGGCCATTATCCGTATACAACACATCGTCTGAGCCCTGAGTATACATTAAAGATTCTTCCCCAACACTTGCTCAGCCAGGGTCTAATGGTTTGAGTGCCAAAAACCAGATGCGAAATGGGGTCACTGGCAATGCCACAGATGCGGTCATGCGCCTCAAGGTTAAAATGGGGCCAGCAGCTCGCCTAACAAACCCACTCCACCAGTCCTCCAATTAGTGCCATTAAACCTACCTTTCCTTTCCATGGAGCCTCCGTCAGACCCTACAGCGCATTAGGAAGGCTGCCATTTGATTTTTACTGCAATTTCTGCAGTGACTTTTTAAATTTCCATGATCTCAGAAGAGATTTTAAATGCGCGAATCGGTACATTCTGCAAAGAGGGACTAGTGTGGCTCCGAGCTCCGCGGCAGTGGCACCCGTCTGTCTGTCCTGGGCAACATTCCGCCACGCCAAGGGCAAACAGAGAGGCTGGGTTGCCCTGAGAGGGTGGGAGCATCTGCCTTGGGTCCATGGGACGGGGTGAGAGAAGAATCAGCACTAACACCGCGGAGAGCTGGGCACCGTGTTTACGACTACGGTGGGGAGCAGCAAGGTTGGACTCCAGAACAAATAAAAAAGAGGAGGGAGACAAACAGAGCCTCACGGTCAAAAACAAGAAACAGAAAGGCCCACTGAGGCAATCCGGGGCAAGTCAGACCTGTCCACTGGAGTTCTGTCTCCAGTCCCACACCCTGGCCTCCTCTTTCTCTGTTCCTCTCTGTCTCTCCCTCGGGCCACTTTCTGCACAGGGACCTCACATCATTACCCATTCTGTTTACAACGTGAGCCCAGTCTCTCCAGGGTGGGCTCGGTTTTGTGAGGAAAGAAATTTCTCCACGAAAACCTCCTGGATAGACACTAAAAACGGGAACAGTGGCTACCTGCTCAGTGAATTACGGCTGGTATTTAAGTTCCTCTTTCAAGGTATTTTCCCTAAGTTTCTTTTTTTTTTGTAAATGTTTGACAGAGACAGAACGAAAGCAGGGAGGGGCAGACAGAGAGGAAGACCCAGGATCCGAAGCAGGCTCCAGGTTCCAAGCTGTCCGCACAGAGCCTGATGCGGGGCTCGAACTCACAAACTGCGAGATCATGACCCAAGCCGAAGTCGGTCACTCGACCGACTGAGCCACCCAGGCGCCCCTAAAAGTTTCCACGATTAGGTATGAATTCGTTCCCCAGAATTTGCCATAACAAAATATTACAAACTGGTTAGCTTAAAACGACGGAAATTCACGGTCACGTAGCTCTGAAGCCTAGAGGTGAGAACCGAAGGCCAGGCTGTCTGCAGCGGCGCTAAAGAATCCCTCTTTGCCTTTTCTGGCTTCCTCTGGTGGCCGTCCATCTTGACTGGGCTTTTTGGCTGGTTAGAGGCATCACTGCCATCTCCACCTGTGATGTCACAATGCTTCTCCCTGAGTGTCTCCTCTCTTCTCACAAGGACACCAGTCACTGCATGAGGGCCCACCCTCCTCCAGGAGAACCCCATCTTAACTAATTACATGTGCAACGACCCTATTTCCAAATAAAGTCACATTCTGAGATGCTGGGGGGTTAGGGCTTCCACAGGTCTTTTGGCGGGACACACTTCAACCCGTAAGAAGGTATTTGGGGCGGGGGAGGCAAGACATTCTTATTTCGCTCCTGGGGCAGAGGATGTTAAGTATTAAGTCTCGATGAGGAGCTGGGCGCCTTGTGCATATGCGCTCCTCCCTTCCTCTGGAGAAAGAGGCAGAGAAGGACCCGCAAGGGAGAGCCGGAGCCGCAAAGTTCCCTCAGGCCTGCCGCTGGTTTCCCTCAGACCGGGCCCCGTGCCAGGGATAAGCCACACCGGAGCCGAGCTTCTCGGAGCTTCCACTCGTGGCCGTTTGGAGATAGCATTCGGGGTGCTTCACATTCCACACTTCACCAAAGTCAAGACTTCAGAAGCATAACAGATGCGATCGGGGTATGCCTGAGCTGGTGGCTCGGCGGCAGGACTGATGACGCCAAGCAGGGGAGAGGCTCCACCCGGGAAGGGAGTGGGAGAAAGCCCCGGAGGGCTGCGTGGTGGCCGTGGCTCGGCTGCGTGTGGAAGGTGAATAGGACTTTGCCAGTCAGCCGCAGAGGAGGAGGAGGAGGAGGGGGGGGGGGAGGAGAGCAGAGGTGTCCTACCATCTGCCTTGTGACCTTCTGCTCCTCTGGAAACTTGTCTTCCTTCAGTTCCTGTGGAATGGCAACCCCCCAACCCCTTCCTCTGTCCCTAACTCACCGGGGCTGCAGGCTCAGCCGTGGCTCTCTGCTTGGGGCCGCCAGACCACCTCTCCTTCCCGCAGGATGCTCTGAGGTCGGGGCTTTCTCACCTGGAGCGTTCCCAGCATCCACCACATCAGCTCACCGCGCTGGGTCGGGGGGGGCACCCGGCATTGGCGCTCTGATGTCCCAAGTACAAGCTTTGTTCCCCCTTCCTCACTTTGCTGCTCTCCCACGCCAGCTCCGGTCTAGGACTCCTCGCTTATCTAGCCCCCGCGGCTGATATCAATTTAGGCTTAAAAACGTTACAGTTTTCGCTGCCTGCACTCCTAAAATATCACTTGATATGTAATCAAGCAACACGGCCTGATTTCTCTTTCCTTTGCAATTATCACCCACAGTTCTCTCCCCTTTCTGGATCATTTCCAAAGTGTGATCCAAACGTAAGCCTCGTGCTTGGATAGGGCACGGTTCTCAAAGTCCGGTCCCCAAACAGCACCAGCAGCATTGCCTCGGAGTTTATTATGAACGCAGACTCCCCAGCTTCGCCCAGGCCTACCTTCTAGCGTGTCTGGGGCCGGGGATCCAGCCATGTGCACGTGAACAGACCCTCCAGGTGATGCTGATGCATGAGAGAGTTGGGGGAACCAGTGGATCAGCCCAAGAATTTCCCATGACCTCACAATCCATCCTGGCTGTGGCCACCGGATTCATTTACTTACGGTTTTCAATATTGGCAGATCTCTACTCCAGAACCATCGATGGCTGCCAATTGCCTGCCTCATGAAGGCTAAACTCCACCTGGCCTTTGTAGCTCCATGATCTAGTTCCAGCTCTCCAGACTCGTTCTCAGCAGCCTCTCATAGATTATCTGCATTCTAGTGGTGTCCACTTTTTAAGCACCATACCTTTGAATATATGGATGCCCGCCCATCCCCACCCACCAATCTGGCCCCAAATGGAGTTGGATTAGGATCTTTAGAAACCCTAATCAGTGAAAAGTGCGTGGCACCCCTCTCTCAAGTGGAAATAAAAATAAACCTAATACTTAGGCGTAAAATAATCAGATGGGAAGTCTTCCAAATTACGGACGCTTTCCCATACTGACTTGGAAATATAATTTGCTGCTTTAAAAGTACAGTTATCAAATTCGTTGTTTGTAACGTAATTCTAGGGGCCGCTCTGCTTTCTACTGCTCCAAGTATGTGCTCAATAAACCTGATTACTCCAGTTCTGCCTCTGCGAATCCAAATCCTACTCACTCTTGAGCGCTCTGTTCCTTTCACGAGCAAAATCGGGATAAATGAATGAATGAGCAGTCCTCTCTGCTCAGTCAGGGAAGGCTATTTTTGTATTTATTCCTGTTTTTTCCCTTTCAGCAGTCATACTTTAGGAGGGTGGTTAAGTCCTACCTGACCGCTGGGTCCCTGTGTACGGCCCCTTCAATATAGACAAGCGCTGTGGGCAGCTTTGCTGATAATCTGAATCTGAACGTAATGATCTCTCCGCTAATGCTGAGACCCACTTTTCAGCATTCTTCCGGGCAGCAGACACCTGCTGAATGCTCACAAGAAATGACAGTTGCCCAGAGGCATGAATCTTGATAGTCGGCCAAGACACCACCTAACAGGTGAGAATCTTACCTGAAAGACGCTTCTCCAAAGTTAAGACAAACAAAAAGCCTCCTTTTAAAGGGAATCAATCAGTGCTCAATGTTTGAACATCATTTACAAACACAGCCCCACCTAAACGCCAAATACCTAAGACCTTTTCATAAATGTTTTGGCAATAAAAATGTCCTATTTAGAAGGGACTTTTGTACCTCCAATGTGATATACGTGATACATCTGCCCCACGAAGTATAATTCCTTGGGGCTTAAGTTTTTACTGGTGAGTAACCGGCGGCAGTCGACTTTGTTTGGTGTCTAGGGCTCTGCAGATAGAGGTGTATACGTTTTTGAACAAGCGTGTAAAGGATCTATACCAGCAAACGGTGGCCATCGACCGGTAACTGCCCGGTGGACACACGTTGGACGGAGCCACTGAAATCGCCCCGCCCTCTTCTCTCCCAAAGACCTCACAGCCAGTCTCCCAGCACTCTGGGCCCCTAGACTCACCCCCCATCCACGAATTTAAAAGGAGTCTGGTGTCAGGAGAGTCTTCTGGTCTCGACGACTTGCTGCTCCGGCCCCACGGCTCACCGTCCATGGTGCCGTCTCCTAGACCAAGAGAGGTCTGTGTTCCACTTCAGTTATTCACAGAACTCCAAATTCCATGCTCCTGAGAATTCCAGCGCTGTGGCTAGCTGAGCCGCACCGGCCTGGGCAGACGATAGAGAACAGCAGAGCACAGTACAGGCAGGGAAATCTGAGCACTACCTGTGGTCAGACAGACAGACGCACGCGCCCGGACGCGCACCCCCGCACGCGCGCGCGCACACACGCTCCACCTAGCTGGCTGGAGGCTGGCCAAAGCTCACAACAGCCCCCCAGCCCCAAGTCTGCAAAGTTGCTGATGTCACGTCCTTTCCCAAACTGAGACCAATCAGTGAGGAAGCCTTGGGCTTTATCAGGAAGGAAAGCCAGTTTGTAACTTTTGGAGAGCAAGGGGAACAGGGTGGGAGTGAAGGAAACCACTCCCTGCTGCACTGTTGCACACTGTGCTGGGGGGGGGGGGGGGGGGGGGGGGGGGGCTTCTCATTGTTGACAAAGCCCCAGAACCCAAGAGCTGAGAAAGCTGGTTTCGCTGCAGCCCCGCTGAATTGCTTGCACAGCAACACGCCGTCTGCACATGTGGTTTCAATTTTTCCGGGAGTTTCTTATGGGAAAATGTGTCTATATGTTACAAAAATGCTCCTTGGGAAAGAACTCCTGTTTTCTTCCCTCTGACTGCAGAGATTTCACTCTCCGGCCCCCTTTGCCCTTCCTCCACACATTATATTTTAACCTCGAAATAAATAATTAACAGTTGCTGTTGGAAAATGGATTGCCAGGTGGCCCTGAATGTGCGGAAGAAACCTGCTACTTTGCTAATTATAAAAAGTTTTACTCCCAGGAGGTTTCGCCTTTTTGCCTTTACAGAACAGTGTACGTTGTACGTGTATCTTCCCAGCGGAACCCAGTTTCCCCACTCCCCTGGGTGCTGCTTCAGGGTGAGGCCATGCCTAGACTCCCACTGCGCCTCTTTTCCGGTGGGAGGGGACCTCTCTTCCCAGTTAGGGGAGGCCCTGAGCTCATGTGGAGCATAGTCTGTCTCTGAAGTGACTGCCGATTTTTTTTAATGCCGAAGACCTAGCCTCACTATTTCAGATTTATGGGTCCCCAACTGGAACACGTGACAGCCATTGTTCAGTTTGAGGAGTGGCCTTCATATTTCAAAAAGCATCTCTGTGCATATGTTTGTATATGCATTTACCCCTGTACACTTTGCATGTGAACGTCACAGCGTTGCCGTATTGCTCTCTGCCCATTACACTTCTTGCATCTTGGAGATCTTTCCATTTTAGCACCTATAGCTGTCCCTCTCTTCCTTATGGTGTTGCATGCCGTATTGCATCAAAAATATGTCACTTTCCCCGGGATGGAGGCAGAATGTTGCCATCTCTTCTGTTACTATAAACACCGCCGTCCACAATTTTGCATAAGTGGCTCTGTGCACTTACTGAGCATTTCTGGAGGAGAGATTCCCGAGAGTGGAAACGGTAGCTCACAGGTGCGCTTGTGCACGTGCCATGATTTCTGGAGAAGTGAAGACACACACAGAAGTGAGTACGAGCCAAACTGGAGACCCCGGAAGGAGCTCGGTGGCTTGCCTCAGGGTCCATCTCCATTGCGCTACAGGCTGGCAGAAAGCTGGGGCAGGGAAAGTGGGCGGGGCTACCGGAGAGCTCCCTGTACAGGGCTTGCAACTGCATGAAATCTACAAGTGCCTCAATACAAACTGAGCACTGGGTGTTTTGTGGAAACTCACTTGACAATAAACTATGAAAGAAAAAAAAATCTCAGAAAATAAAGTTGTAAGCAATAATTTAAAAAAGCCAAAATGCATTTTGAAAGAAAGGGGCTGTTCCTTTAACATTGAGAGAGCAGTGCCTGGGTGGCTAGGTTTTGAGTGTCCAGCTCTTGATTGGCTCAGGTCATGATCCCAGGGTCATGGGGTTAAGCCCTGTGTCAGGCTCCACACTGATCATGGGGCCTGCTTGGGCTCTCTCTCTCTGCCTCTCTACCCCACCTGCGTGTACTCTCTCTCTCTCTCTCTCAAAAAAAAAAAAAAATAACAATAAAATTGAAAGACACACTGCCATATTGCCCTCCAGTTCTCTGCAGAATCAACTGAACAGGCCACAAGCATATAAACTGTTCACTACTCCATCAGGAAAAGATTTGAAGAACTATAAAACTTGTCTTTGGCAGAGACTGAGAGATGTACTCCCAAAAGAGACTGAATGACAAGGAGTTAAACAGAGAGGCACAATGGGGAACCTGGCTATTATCGCCATTCTTTGAGTAAAATCTTCATGGTACAGCTTCTTTCTTTACTTTTAATTAAACTCCAAGAAGATAACATCTTTCCAGATTCAAATTTAAGTTTATGGTCCAAAATGACAATAAAGAGGATTTCCAGGTAGTTGCCTTCATACCTGAGAGGGAATTAATCAGCTTTTAACCTTCTCACTAGATTTACAATGTTGGTCACCTCATGTGACTATTGGAGATGGGAACTGATGTTTTTTTTTTAACTGTTTAACACCACTTCTAGTCAGGAATTCAAAAACCATACAACAGGGGCACCTGGGTGGCTCAGTCGGTTAGGCGTCCAACTTTGGCTCAGGTCATGTTCTCACGATCTGTGGGTTCGAGCCCCGCATCGGGCTCTGTGCTGACAGCTCAGAGCCTGGAGCCTGTTTCAGATTCTGTGTCTCCCTCTCTCTCTGCCCCTCCCCAGCTCCTGCTCTATCTCTGTCTGTCTCAAAAATAAATACATGTTAAAAAAAATTTTTTTTAAAAACCATACAAGAGAAAGTCATGCATTTTTAGGGATCTGTATGAAGACAAAGTTGAATGACATATGTATGAGCTGTGATTACAGGAGAAAAGATCAGCTTACAACAAGCCACGAGAGAAGAACAAGCTTACAAACTTCTAATCAGTCCCTGTGCATGTATATGTGTGTGTGTGTGTGTGTGTATGTGTGTGTGTGTCTGTATGCGTGTGTTCAAGAAACTTGGCCCAGGTTAGGTGAGAAGAATTATGGCCTACAGCAGTAAGGCCACAGTCATTCTTCATCAAGTACAGTCTTAACACTAGCCAGGGCCTCTGTGCTCCCCTCACCTAGATGTCCATGCCTGACATCACTCACGGATTCGGAGACTCTTTCCTCCCGAGGCCCTGGGGAGCCTTGAAAGCCATCTCCAATCAGTCAAAGTCGGCCTAGGAGCAGAAACCTCTTGACATTCCAGCCAGCAATCTTTCTAGCACAAAACCTTTAAAACCCAAAAGGTACATATCCTCTCTGATGATTTGGAACGGTCTGCGTTTCCCACAAAGAGCCTAGCTGTTTCTCTTGTTCTCGCATAACTGTCTGCATGCTAAGCTAGCTGATGTCGCTACTTGAGAAAGCAATTGCTCATTCCCACCCCATCTAGCAGTACAATAAGACTCACACAAGGATGTGTTCTTTAAAATCTGGCATAATGCGCTATTCTTGTGTGGTAGGAACCCCTCCCTAAGGAGAGAGAAAAAAAAAAAATGGAGAAGAGAGAAGACTTCAAGGTCACCTAGATATGCGCCCGGGTGCCTACATCCCCCATGGCCTTGTAAACTGAGACAATCAGACTGAATCTTTGTGTATTACCATATATGGGAGGCAAAGAAATAGAAAATGTATTAACAAAAACCATGCCATGTGATGTGGGCCGCTCAGTTCTTTGGGTACGAACCCAACTGAGCGGTGCCGGCACGAATAAAGTTGCTTCCTGGAAAGAAAAGCCTCGGTGTCACGACTCTCTGTGCGAGAATCCTGCAACACTTGAGGAAAACAATCACGCAAATCAAAACTGAGAGTCTCCATTAACAATGGGGCTGGATTCTTCAAAAATGCCAACGGCATGAAAGACGAGAGTGGGGGTGGGGAGGCTTTCTAGCTTAAAGGGGAAAACAGTGACTTGATAACTAAATCCATGCATGATCTTTGATCACATCCTGACTGGGGGTGTGGCAGGGGGGCGGGGACAAGACATAAAAGGCATCAACGCGACAATCGCTGAAATTTAAATATGGACTAATATCAGATGATCACAGTGCATCACTGTCAAGCTTCCTGCATGTGATTCCTGCACCGAGGCGATGCAGAAGAGTCTCTGTGTTCCTAGGAGATGCACACTGAAGCGTTTAAGGCAGAGCCCCGTGTAGCTTGACACAAAGGGAGAGATGCGTGCCCCTGGGTACACGTTTTACACCAAATGGAAAAAGCCAATGCAAACTCTATAGTCAAAACCCAGGTGTATATATAGAGTCCCCATTGCCGACTCTGTTCACAAGCCAATGGCATTCCTCACAGGCCCAACAGCCACGTCCCAGAACCTTCGGCTGATTGGAAACACTCTTCTTGTTGCACAGTTATGTAAGCCCATAAAGCAAACAACAGCCTGTCTTTATTAAAATTCTTCATATTCTTGTCATTGTGGGGTTTTTCCTTAACATTGAATTTTTTTTAATATTGCACTAAAATATTGACTTTGGGGCACCTGGGTGGCTCGGTTGGCTGAGCATCTGACTTGTGTTCTAGTCATGAACTCACAGTTCATGAGTTCAAGCCCCACATCGGGCTCGCTGCCATCAGCCCGTCAGGGCGGAGCTCGCTGGGGATCCTCTGTCCCCTTCTCTCTGCCCCTCCCCTACTTGCGCTCTCCCAAAATTAAATAAATATTTTAAAAAAAATATTTACTTTGATGATAGAGTTTCTTGGTGTCCCCCCCTCCCCCCTGTTAGATTTCTTGCATCACTCACCTCCTGTAATCCTGGCCCTGGTGAAGAATCATGATGTCCACAGTTTATTCACAAATGGCTCCTTTAAAATTTGTATACAGGGGCCCCTGGGTGGCTCAGTCGGTTAAGTGTCCGACTTCGGCTCAGGTCATGATCTCACAGTGAGTGAGTTTGAGCCCCACGTCAGGCTCTGTGCTGACAGCTCAGGACCTGGCGCCTGCTTCGGATTCTGTGTCTCCCTCTCTCTGCTCCTCCCCCACTCATGCTCTGTCTCTCTTTCTCTCTCAGAAATAAACTTTTAAAAAGTTTTAAAAAATAAAATGTGTATACATATTAATTATACACGGCTGACATGTATATATGTCTACAGGTGCGTGTACACAAATGCATACATATACGTACATATACACGTGT